CTCGAAAATGGCGGCAGTTTCACAGATCGCAGCCCCCCAGGGATGGCGAGGTCTAATTTGAATCCGCGCGTCGCCCTCACTGTGCTGGGCCCCAGCAGGCCTCGAAAATGGCGACAGTTTCACAGATCGCAGCCCCCCAGGGATGGCGAGGTCTACGTTGAATCTGCGCGCCGCCCTCACTGTGCTGGGCCCCCCAGCAGGCCTCGAAAATGGCGACCGTTTCACAGATCGCAGCCCCCCCCCAGGGATGGCGATGTCTAATTTGAATCTGCGCGTCGCCCTCACTGTGCTGAGTCCCCCAGCAGGCTTCGAAAATGGCGACAGTTTCACAGATCGCAGCCCCCCAGGGATAGCGAGGTTTCATTTTTCCGTGCGCGTCGCCCTCACGGTGCTGAGCTCCCCAGCAGACCTCGAAAATGGCGACAGCTTCACAGATCGCAGCCCCCCCAGGGACGGCGAGGTCTAATTTGAATATGCGCGTCGCCCTCACTGTGCTGGGCCCCCCAGCAGGCCTCGAAAATGGCGACAGTTTCACAGATCGAAGGACCCCAGAGATGGCGAGGTCTAACTTGAATCTGCGCGTCGCCCTCACTGCGCTGGGCCCCACAGCAGGCCTCGAAAATGGCGACAGTTTCACAGATCGCAGCCCCCCAGGGATAGCGAGGTCTAATTTGAATCCGCGCGTCGCCCTCACTGTGCTGAGCCCCCCAGCAGGCCTCGAAAATGGCGACAGTTTCACAGATCGCAGCCCCCCCAGGGATGGCGAGGTCTAATTTGAATCTGCGCGTCGCCCTCACTGTGCTGGGCCCCCCAGCAGGCCTCGAAAATGGCGACAGTTTCACAGATCGCAGCCCCCCAGGGATGGCGAGGTCTAATTTGAATGCGCGCGTCGCCCTCACTTTGCTGGGCCCCCCAGCAGGCCTCGAAAATGGCGACAGTTTCACAGATCGCAGCCCCCCGCAGGCAAGACAGGAAGAGGCAGGGAGGGAGGAGGAGGAGGAGGAAGGAAGGAGTGGAGACCACACTGCTCTATTCAAAACGAATACCCAACCAAGGAGGGTTGGGAAATATTGAATTCTGCGTGTAATAAAAGTACGCGGGGGGGGGGGCGGACATCGTCTGGACATCCTCATGGGAGAGAGGAGAGCAGTATGCATGCTGTGTTATTGCACAGGGAGGGGTCTAGCAAGGGGGGTCCCGACAGAGGGAGGGTCTACAGAGAGGGGGTCGACAGAAGGCGGGGCCAGAGAGGGGGGTGTTTACAGAGCGGGTGTCTATTCAGGAGGGGTGCACAGGGGGGGGTCTACAGATCACAAAGGGAGTGTCTGCAGAGGGGGGGGTGATAGAGGGGGGTACAGGGAGGGGGTCTACAAAGGGGGGGCTAGAGAGGGGGGGTCTACAGAGGGGGGGTCTACAGAGGGGCGGTTTACAGAGGGGGGTCTACAGAGTGGGGGTATACAGAGGGGGGGTACAGAGGGGGGGGTTTATTGAAGGGGGGTCTACAGAGGGGGGTGTACTAAGGGGGGGAGTCGACTGAAGGGGGTCTGCACAGGGTAGGGGCCTGCACAGGGTAGTGGGGAAACAAGCAGCGCGCGGATCGCTATAGAGAGAGAGAGAGAGGGAAAGAAAGGAAGAAGGAAAAAGAGAAATAAAGAAACAAACAAACAACACAACACAACCCAACACAAACAGAGAGAAAGAGAGAGAGAGAGAGAAAGAGAACAAACAATAGAGAGAGGGAGAAGGAAAGGGAGGAACGGGAGGAGCAGGAGGAGGCGGAGGAGGAGAAGAGGAGGACAAAGGAGTGGAGGAGGAGGAGGAGAAGGAGGAGGACGAGGAGGAGGACGAGGACGAGGCGGAGGCGGAGGAGAAGGAGAGGAGGAGGAGGAGGAGGAGAGGTGGGGGAGTGTTTAGTCCGGAGTGAGGAGGAAGAGGAGGCGGAGGAGGAGGAGGAGGTGAAGGAGGAGGAGGAGTCCGGAGGGGAGGAGAGGAGGAGGAGGAGGGAAGGAGCAAGAGGAGGGAGGAGGAGGAGGAGAAGGAGGAGGAGAGGGGAGATGGGGGGAGGAGGGAGGAGGGAGGAGGGCGGAGGAGGAGGGAGGAGGGAGGAGGGAGGAGGGCGGAGGAGGAAGATGGAGGAGGAGGCAGGAGAAGGGAGGCGGAGGAGGAGGAAAAGAGAAGGGCGGAGGAGGAGGAGGACGAGGAGGAGGAGGAGGAGGAAAAGCAGAGGAGAAGGAGGGGGAGGATGCAGGAGGTAGAAAGCACAGGAGGCAAGAGGGAGGAGGGAGGAGGGGGAGGAGGAGATGGAGGAGGAGGAGCAGGAGGAGGAGGAGACAGAGGTTGGGCCCTTGGGTAGGCCCTGCCCTTGCCATACCCTAGGCCTTTGGTTATGGCCTACCCTTGCCCTACCCTAGGCCCTTGGGTAGGGTCTACCCTTGCCCTACCCAAGGCCCCTGGGTAGGGCCTACCCTAGGCAACCCTAGGCCCGTGGGTAGGGCGTACCCTAGGCTACCCGAGGCTCTTGGGTAGGGCCTAGGGTAGCCTTCCGCCCAGGCGATCTATATCTCTTTGGGCGCTTCAGGGTTGTTTTGGGGGCCATATTGGGCGTCTTGGAGGCCTCTTGGGCCGTCTTGGGGCCCTTTGGGGGCCGTCGTGGGAGCATCTTGGGAGCATGTTGAGCCGTCATGGGGCCATCTTGGAGGCCATTTGTGCGATCTTGGGAGAATATTGGGAGCCTCCTGGGCGTCTTGGGTCATCGGAAGACCGAATTGAAGCAAATGCAAAAATCTGCCAAAAACCTTCTGGATAATCAAGGTTGTTGGCCTCTTCGGGCTTTCCTGGAGGACTTTTTGAAGGCCTCTGAGGCCATTTTGGAGACCTCTTGGGGGCCTCTGGGGCCGTCTTGGACCATCTTGGAGCCACCTTGAGCCGTCTTGGTGTCTTGGGCGAACTTGAAGGCACATTGGACCCTCTTGGACCGTCCTGGAGGCCATCTTGGACGAACATTGAGGCCAACTTGGGTCAGCTTGGCCGTCTTGGAAGCGATTGGGCAATTTTTGTCGGCGGATTGTGCGGCCTTCCGGACGGCTAGCGCGCTGTGCCGAAGCCCCAGGGGGAGTCTTGAAAGAACCAATAAGTATCAGACATGTAGCACGCCAGGCACCCCTGTTGGCAAGCCAACATGTGGCGGCGGATCTAGTGGCCCTCGGCTCCGCCCGCCACCGTGCCTGGATTGTGGACCAGAGGCATCTTAGATGTCTCATCGGAGGCCTAATTGGGAAGCCGTCCTGGGTCGATCTAGAAAGGTTGATGGGCCGTTCTGGCCGTTCTTAAAACCGAAAAGGCGAAATAACAGAAGTCATTGAAGAAGACATAGAAATACCGAGTTGAATACGTTTGTATGTTCAATGTCGTTGGCCTAGTGGGCGGCTCCTAGGTCTTCCAACAGGCGTCCAAGAGGGTTCCAAGAGTGGCCATGGGACCTTCTGAGCCCATGTTGAATATGAAATCCCGGCCACGCGCCCAAGGCCTCTGAAAAAGTCATCGTTGACGCCCCGAGAGCGCCCAAGAGCGCCCGGAACTCCCTGCTCTGGGCTGTTGGCAGAGCGTTTACAGTTGACAGCGCAGACTGAACTCGGAGGGGCCCGAATTCAACCCACTTCGTGCCTCGCGGCACGGTGGCCGCTCCTCTCCCTCCGTGGTTTAGCCAATTTGACCCAGGAGAGATTCGACTCAATAGTTGACGCCTCCCCGCCGACTGCAGCGCATCGATCAGCCAACCAGCGCGGCCATGGCCCCGCGAACGCCCGCCTCCCAGAATCGGGCGACGGGGTCATTGCACCTCCGCCGCCCCTGGTCAGGCCCCTCCTGGGCGTATACGGCCCCCTCTGGCCCGCGCCTGGGCCCCAGGATCCGCCTCGCCGGGGGCGGCGGAAGTTCGACGATCCTCAGGACGTGTGTTAGCCCAATGTGTGTTTGTTACCCCCTCCAGCCCAATCAGTGGATCATCACATCGCCTGGGTCGTGTCAAAGGCCTCGATGGACGAGCACACGCTGGGGCTGACACGCGCTCTGACGATCCTCGAGACGTGCGCTGATGCCGTCGCCCTGCAGAAGCCCGCTGCCGCGGACCCTCGGGTCGATCCCGAGGCGCCCGCTGCCGCGGACCCTCGGGTCGATCCCGAGGCGCCCACCGCGTGGACCCTCGGGCCGGCCCCCAGGAGCCCGGCGCCCCGCGCCGACCCGCCGCCCGCAGTGGTCATGCGGGCGGCGGGGCTCCTGGAGCCCCGCCCGGCCTCGGCGGCCCGGGGGCGGGCTCCACCCAGCGCAGCGGCGCTCGGGGGAGGAGGAGGAGGAGGAGGAGGAGGAGGAGGAGGAGGAGGAGGAGGAGGAGGAGGAGGAGGAGGAGGAGGAGGGGGAGGAGGGGGAGGAGGGGGAGGAGGAGGAGGAGGAGACAGCACCCCGACCCCGATGCTTGGCGTTTACGAAACGGCCCGGGGCGTTTACTGAACATCCATGCCCTGTTCGAGTCTTCCCTGGGGTGCGTCTGCGAACCAGCTTCGCTGGTCGGGGTGCTTGTGATGAGGGTGGATGTTCTGCTCTCTGATGAAGGAGGCGAGGGGTCCTGCGGAGATAAGGGTTCCCAAGCTTCTTCTCCGCTTTCGGCCTCCTGCGGAGGACCGCTCCTGGGCTCCGGGGCCGTCCAGCCCCAGGCATCCGATGGTGTGATTTTGATTTGTTCAATGCGCGGCCCCATGAGGTCCCAACCTCTTCCATGGGGCCCTCGGATCCGCTTACCGTGGGCCCGGGACCCGATGACAAGCCCAGAGAGGCCAAAGTTGAGGAAAAGCGTTCAGGTTGGAATGTTTGCCGGCGTGGATCACAAACAGTGACTTCGCTCGTTGGATGTGTAAGGTACGTATATGGTGCAATACGAAGCTACGTAGTGCAATACATGTGTTGCATGTCATATGCTGCAAGCTATGCGGTGTAAGCTGTGTGGTGTACTCTATGCGATACAATGTATGTTGCGTCAGCTAAGTGTTGTAATCTAGGCGATCTAACATGGTTTCTATATATACACATACAGTTTACAGTGATGCATGTTATACATACGAATGCAGATCTGATCCCGCATACATGAATATGCACATGTATGTATCGAAATGCGCATGTGTCTAAGAATGTGCATCTACAGACCTACATACATGCGTATGTGGCGCCAGCTGCATTGTGTAATAGATATGGTGTAAGCCGTGTGTATGTGATGAAGTACTGTGGTGGTACATATGCGGTAAGCAGGATACGCGGTGCTAAGTTTGCGGTACAAGCTATGTGGCACAAGCCATGCGGCCGCCCACGCGGCGCCCACGAGGCGGCCACGGGCGAAAACCGGGAGGACCCACCCAGCGCATGGGGTGCCGACGAGGCGCCCACGACCGGCCACCAGCTGGGCCCCCAGCTGACCCACCCCCAGCGCACAGGGCGCTCACGACCAGCCACCCAACAGGAGCACATGTGAGAACCTTGAAGGTGCGAGCACTGCTTGGGGAGACCTGATCTCGTCAGAGATCTGGAGGCCAGAAGACCAGGACCCGTTTCCGCCAGGGCACGTCACTCCCTTCATGGCAAGGCATGGCGCCGAGTGCCCTCCGCCGGCTTCTGGCGCGCGCAGGCCGCCCCGACGGGCGGTGCCTTCTCCGACAAGTACCAGGCGGCGAGACCCCGCAGGGCGTTCTCGCCGCCGCCGCGGGAGGCGCCCGGAGGCGAGGAGGCCCCCCCGTCCGCCGCGGGGCCTGGCGGCGGCGGCAGTGCCGCAAGCCACGCGGCGTCCGTAGGCCAAGAAGACCCCTTCTGGCCCGAGGGGCCCAGCGGCGGGGTCCCAGGCGCGGGCCAGTGGGCGGGGTCGCCCGCGCTGGTTCTGCGCAAGGGCCTTGCGCGGGGCGTGACGACGTGAAGGGCGGGCGGCGGCCGCACGATCGAAGGCCTCACCAGCGAAGGAGCGAAGGCGGCCGGCGCCTGAAGCCTGAATTGCCGGCGTCCAAGGACCCTTCGCCTCCGTGGCCGAACAGGCCGTCGCGCCAGTGCTCGGGCGCACGTCGGCTTTTAGCCTTGCCGACGGTGCTGACGACGGGTGTTTAATCCGCCCCGAGGTCTGCGTCTATCGATGATTTTTGAATGCGCCCTGACCGCTGTCAGCGCTTCTTGGCGACACTATCTGGCTTCGAGCGCCTCGAAGCAGCCTTCTTTTAACTCCCAGTGCAGAGCGGAGTTCCATCCTATAAACATTTATGTTATTATCCTCGTCGGCAACCCAGGCTACTCCGAAGGTAGAAGACGCAGGAGCCATCCATCCGGAGGCTTTTTAAAGGTTTGGCGAGTCCAAAATGTATGGGGACGTCTGTCCCATGGCGTTTTTGCCGAGAAGAGATTGGCATGCGGCGGCATCTACATATCGCCGACGGTTTGCGTCGTTCTTGACGCAAGTGCAATTCATATAGTTTTTGAATGTGTGTCTTATTCTCCTGTGAATTTCAACAGTGGCTGCTGGCTGTGTTCCTGCCTCGGCATGCGTTCCTGCAGCTGCGCCTCGCCGATAGCGTTCTGGGGGTGCCCGAATCGTCCCGAACGGCTGCCCGAGGCCCAGGTTCTGGCCCAAACTCCACCTGGACACAGACCTCTGGCATCTTGAGGAAGTCGGTGCGGCTTGTTTGCCCCGGTTTTCGGCCCCAGGGGCGGGCCGAACAAGAAAGCGGCCTGCGACGGCAGCGCAGGCCTTGGGGAAAGGGCCAGGACTTCCACGAACCCCATGCAGAAAACAATCCATTGGGCATCAGGGCAGGATGGGAAGGAGGCGGGGAAGAGGAAGGAATCGGACCCAGCCTTGCGCCCGCTGAGCCGGTCTTGGCTCGTTGCACCCTCGGCTGCACGCACTCCAGCTCATCCCGCTGCTCCTCCCCCTCCTCGTCCTCGTCCCCCCCTCCCCCTTCTCTCTCTCTCTCTCTCTCTCTTTCTCCCTCTCTATTTCTCTCTTCTCCTGTTTCGCCTGATCATCCTCGCTTTCCTCCCAATCCCTCCTCGCCGTCCTCCCTCTCCCCATCCTCCCCCCGTATGGCAACCTCTCGAGGAGGAGGCCCGCTGTGTCTCCCGACTTGCCATGTTTCTCCTCCTGTCTGTTTCAATATCCCTTTGCGCCCCCCTCGGGGCCGTCGAGGGACCGCTGGTGGGGCTCGCTCCCCTCCAGCTCAGCGAGTGCAGCACTGCATGCTGCCACAGTGGTCGACCTCTCAGGCAGAGAGGGCGTTAAGCTCAAAAAACTCCTGTCCCCCCCCCCCTCCCAGAGATCCGGTGCATTCATCCGTTCAAGACAGGGTTCCCGGAAGACCCGACCCTTTCCCGGGCGCGGGCTTTTCCAGCCTCGTCCTCGTCTTCTTTTTCACCCTCGTCCTCCTCCTCATCCTCCTCCTACTCCTCCTCGTCCTCCTCATCCTTTTCCTCCTCCTCCTCCTCCTCCTCCTCCTCCTCCTCCTCCTCCTCCTCCTCCTCCTCCTCCTCCCCCACTCCCCCTCCCCCACATATCCTCCTCCTCCTCCTCCTCTTTTTCCTCCTCTTCCTCCTCCTCCTCCCCCTCCTCCTCCTCCTCCTCCTCCGCCTCCTCCTC